ATTTAGTATGACAACCATCATACCCATCCCATTCCTCCCTGATCCCAGGCCCTATATTCTATGCCTCACTCTGCTTTTTCTTCTTTATATAGCACTAAAAGGACTCTGGGTGGTGCAAATGGTTTGCACTTGTTTACTAACAGAAGACTGTGATTCAAACCCACCCAGTGGCACTGTGGAGGAAGTGCCTGGTGATCTGCTTCTATAAAAATGACAGCTGTGAAAACACTATGAAGCTCAGTTCCACTCTGAAACACATGGGATCACAACACATAGACTCAAAGTCAACTGTGATCATTAAGGTTGTGTGTCAACTTGGCTGGGCCATGGTTCTCAGTGGTGTGGCAGTTGTGATGTAGTTGGGCAGTTGTATAATGAAGTAATCACTTCCTTGATGAGATCTGATATAATGTGATCACCTCCATGATGGCATCTGCTGTGAGTGGCCAATCAGTTGAAAGGAAGTTTCCTTGGGGATGTGGCCTGCATCCAATATGGATGGACTTTCTAGCAAGACTCATGGGCTTTTGTGGGCTCTGGATCCTGCAGCTGACCCCTGTTCATCTGACCTCTGGTTCTTGGGACTTGAGCTAGTAGCTCACCTGCCATCTTGCCTGCTGATCTTGGGATTTGTTGGTTTCTGCAGCCCGTGAGCTAGAGGCCTGCTGTCTGACCTGCCAATCTTGAGTTCATTTGCCCCTGCAGCTACGTGAGTCAGGAGAAGCCTCCAGCCTGACCCAGGGACTTGGGACTTTCCAGCTTCTGGATGAGCTGTTTCCTTGATATAAATGTCTCTCTCTATATATTTATACATTTTACTGGTTTTGCTTCTCTAGAGAACCCAACCTAAGACAGCAGCTAACAGCAACACACTCAGAGGTGTATTTACCACAAAGTCAAAGAAGCTTAAGCTTCAGGGCCCCTCCCCTGCTTAGGCCTCTTCCAAAACCCTGGGAGTGGCTCCAACAAGATGTTTACGTGGCTGCATGTTTTTGTAAAATTGGTAAGCATAATTATACCTTAATTTTAATTGATTTGGACCATTGTCTTTTTCTACTCCAACTTCTCTGTTGCACTGTGCTTTGCATCAGGTGGTGCAGACATTTTTAGGGTCTGGCTAACGGGAAATGAAGTTGGAGATATTTTTAGTTAGGGTGTGTTGTTAGCTGCTGTCAAGCAGGCCCCCTCGGGGGTAGATCACCAGGCCTTTCTTCCTAGTCTGTAAGCTCTGCTGAAACCTGTTCAGCATCACAGCTACATATAAGCCTTTACTGACAGATGGGTGATGGCTGTGCTTGAGGTGCATTGAAGATGAAAAATCTACCGCTGAACCACCACGGCCCTCTAGTTAGGGTGTAGTGGAGTGTAATTTGCATTTGTTTTCCTGTATAGTTTAATTAATACTAGCCATTCTGGTGGGGAAGAGCTTCCAGGAAGACTGCCACTGCATGCCGGCCATAGAGTGTATTGCTGTCTGAATGTGTACCTGAGTGCCTGGCACCCAAACTGTGTGGGTAGGGGGAAAAGCATCGGGTGAAATTAACAAAGCCAGCTAATCTATGGAAAATCCTTCCACCCTTTACAGCTCATATTTTAAAGAAACCTGATAGGGGTTTTCTCAAATTTGACATCAATCCTAAAATTTTTTATGAAGTGACCAATAAAGTTGTGAAGTGGAAAAAAATAAAAACTTCTAAAATCAGTAATAATAAACAGTTTTTGATTAACCATGCTAGAAAATAAACTGAATTATCTTTCTAGTCTCATTATAGAATATGTTCCAAAATTACCATATGAAGAGATGATCAAAGACAAAACAGCCATGTGAATATAATTAATGCCACAGAATTGTACACTTAAATACAGTTCTAATGGCAAATTTTATGTTATATATATTTTATCACATTGAAAAAAAAAAGAATGCAGCCGAAAAATGTGTTGAATAGTTAATTAATGAAAATATTTTGTGATTTATTTTCCCCTGGATTTTGTAGTGTTTTTAGTACGTGTGAACTTTTTAATATGTATAAAGTTTTACAGATTTTTCTCTCATTCCAAGTGGATATTTCATAACTAGTTTTATATTTGTAGTTTTGTATTCTTTTCCTTTAAAAAGGCACACTGAATTGTATAAGCTTCAGGCCTTATAAGACCCAGAAGTACCCAGGACATGCTATTTACTTACTTGTTCTGTTCTGTTTATTACCTATTATCTACCCCTCCCTTCAACCCAGCAGAGGGTAATCCCCTTAAGTGCAGGCATCTTTGTTCGCTGATGTACCTTAAGCACCTGAACAGTGCTTGACGTGGTAGCCACTCCATAGATAATTGTTGAATGAATGAATTGATGAATTAACAACATTACAATGAAACACTGGTGTTAATCTAATTTAATCCTGCTCAACAAAAGACAATATTGACATGAGAGTAAGTAAAAAAGCTACTGCTAGTGGAAAACATCACCCCTAAAGACCCCGTGCTTTGTGTAACTAAGAGTCTAGAAACAAATTCCAATCCCTAGATGTTTCTTCAGTAGTCATTAGCTACTATGTTTTTCAAGAGGATCTAGATCATTTTTTTTTAGGTTCTGTTACCTTACAGGAGCCTTGTGGTGCAGTGGTTAAGCGCTCGGCTGCTAACTGAAAGTTCAGCAGTTCAAACCCACCAGCTGCTCCGAGGGAGAAAGACGTTGCAGTCTGCTTCCATAAAGACTTACAATGTAGGAAGTTCTACTCTGTCTTATAGGGTCTCTGTGAGTCAAAATCAACTTGATGGCAATGGGTTTGGGGTTTTATTACCTTACACATTGGGACTCAAGGCTAGCCTCGGCTGGCTTTTTGTATCATCCCACTCCAAGGATGAGAATTTAATTTTAGAGCTCTAGGGAGGTGAGGCCATACAGAGAGACACTGGGAAGTCAGTACAGCAGCAGATTTTCTTCAGCCAAGCATCAGGTGGCAGGAAAATAAAGGCAGACTATTTTTTATCTTCCTATATCTAGTCAATCATAGAAGCTCTCTGTTTAGAGAGCTATTATTGTTTAAACATTGAGCATCAGAAATAAAAAATACTCATGCTAAAGAAGAACGAATACTTGTATTTCTAAAAATATACAGTATTTGGATTTTTTAAAATGGACATATTTAATATAAAGCTTAAAAACCAGAGCTGGGCCTGAAGAAAAGCAGAATCTCATAGGGTTTCAGTTTGGGGAGTGTTTATATTTGTAGATACACAGCAAAACTTATTATATGACCTAGTGGAGGGCAAACTTCTTTCACTTAACCATCTCTATTTTGTGCCCTTATAGGGTTTTTGAGGCAAAAGCCAGTGGGTTTTCTTTTTTTTTCTTTTGATAACAGTTTTCTGGACCTCATTAGTGGTAGTGAAGAAAGCAGTGAGCTAATGAAGGTCTTAGGTGTTGACCGAGCCCTATCTGCCTTCTCAGTTTGGCAGTTAGCACTCACACTGCTATTTTCTAGAATATAATTTGCTGCACTCTGACTTCATGTCTAGCAAGTCTTGACAAAGGAACATCAATAAGTTCTCCAAACTGAGCTTTTGTCAACACTAACCTTGCAGAATGCCTGCAGCTTAGAATTTTAACCTTCATTGCTAAATTTCTCTAGTGTTAGAGTTTTGTGCCAGATTAGAACCCTGAAGAGGTTATTTAGCCAGTAAGGGTCTCCTCCCACATTCATTACCATGGGTTTGCAAGTGATAACTAGATTTACAAAGTTCTTCGCAAAAGTAGAGAGATTTCCTGCTCGGAATTGTATTTACTCAGGGAAGAGACTAAACAAATACCCCTGTTACAAAAAAATACTACAGGGCGTGGAGTATCAATGTGCCAAGTCTGAGCGCTGTAGAATCTCTACTGAACTGTCAGCACAGTGAAAAGCACACGGGAGTGGAACAAAACTCACAAGTCTTGAACATTATTAATCTTTTTTTTTTTTTTAATTTCTTTCTTGTCTAAAGGCTGAGGAAATGTTATTGAAACATACTGTTTCCCAAACCATACTAGGTCTTACTAAATAACTTTCAACTTGTCTCAAAAGTAAACACAAAGAAAAATATGAGTCTTTTCTTTTAAAATAATTTATTCTCCCAAATTATCTTCTCTGGAAATAGCACTAAAAATAAATAAAATGGCTACTCTGATGTGATAGGCATATCAGAAAGGAAAGAAAGGAACTTTTGAGAAAAACAATAAAAAGCAACGATTTAAATTATTCATCAGGTCTCTCTCTTCTGCTTCCTTTCTTGTCTGGTGAATGGTGTGCCCCACGTGGATCCGCCGCGTGGTTAGAGGGGTGGTGTTCCACTTCGGTGGAGCCGTCCTGTCTGGACTGGTTTATTCGGATCCTTTTGACCAGAACATTCGCTAACATTTTTTTTTTCCAGCAAGTGTTGCATAATGCAATGTTATGAATTTTATCTCTGTTCTCAACAACTTGTTGGATATATGCATTTAAAAGGGATGACTTTCATCTTACTGTTATGCAATAAGTCTGTCAGGTTGAATTTCCTTTTATGGAGTCAAAATATGAGCTGAACACTGATATATTTTAAATATAAATCAGCCATTCCTCACGTAATTTGTGGCTTTATGTTTTTCAAGAAGAATCAAATGAGTTTTAACTGGTTGCTAGCTGATCTTTGACTCTTGCCCCATTTAAGCTTCTGTGGTCAGTGATTCCTCCATTAAAGTCCATGTTTCCTCCTATTTTAAGATTGTAGCGAGTGCTAGTAAGGTTAAAGATACTGAAACCAAGGGAGAAATAGGGGCTTTCTTTATACTATTCTTTTAGTCCTGTTGATACTCATTTATGATTACTTACTTGCACGTATTTATACAGGCAGTCCTTGCTTTGCATAGCTCCCATATGCACAACTTTCAAGCTAGGGCCGTCTGCATTCATGTATGTTATGTTTGCATATGCATAAGTATGTGTGTGCATGTGGTTATTTCATTTTTGAATGTGCTTCTTTTTCAGGTATTTGAAATTGGTAAAGACACTGGAGGGACCTCTGTCTGTATCAGCCAAAAAGATTTGGGATCTCATAGCTCAACTCAAACTGGCGAGATGATGGAAAGAGTGAGTTTACTTACCATTTATTTACCACTGTAAGCATCTTCCAAATTACTTGTCATGGTTAATTTAGAATTACATCTTGAAAATTATTTAGAAAAGATTGATTATTTACTGATTTGTAAAGGCTGATATTCTCCAACTTGACTTCTGAATTCCTTTGGCTTTCAGTTTTGGTATGGTATTAACTCCTGATCCCTTACCTAACAACATCTGAATTTTCATCATGCTTTTATTGGGAAATCTGTCTACACTGGACTTTGATTTTGATACATAGGGATTGCTTTCTTGTTTACACTTTGAAAAGAAATGACGTTCATTGGAGGGTACACTCAGGGTCTATGATATTTGCAAGTCCTTGACCTGGAGCAACTCATGGGCACTTGTCCTTCTCCTACCCGCAGCCCTACTGTGAGTAACTCCAGCTGGTTGATCTTAGGCACTCTTACCTTTGCCTATTTTACAGACAATTGGGATGTTTTCCAGGCAGAACCAGCATGTTCAGGGTCTTTCTTCTGGTTCTTTGTCTTGCATAAAAGGACACTGAACACCCTGTTGTTTACAAATTGGGGTTATGCGCCCGATCACACAAGTAGTGTTTTGGGCTCCGTTGCCTTGCCTTTGTTCAGAAGCTTGCTCTTCCACCTCCCCTACCCGCTTCAGTTCAGCATCTTCAGACTTACTCTCCCTGGTGGTTATCCATTACCTGATTTCTATAGCCAGTCACAAAATTGCATATGATTATGAGAAGCTCTCATTGGATCATTAGCTGGGACCAGAAAAGACTGCGAAATGGTATCTTGTTTGATTAGAGAGAGAAGGATATAGGGTCTTGACTGGTTTCTTTTTACCATCATAACCCTTGTAACACAAATTGCCATGATGTAAAAGCCTTCTAAGAACTCTCCACCAGTCTTCCCGTTTTAAATATTAGAATGTTTTACTTTCTGGTTCATGTTAAAATCAAAGATGGCATGTATATTACCTTATACAGGAAGATGATAATCCGTAGAAACTTTTTGTGTTGATTTATGGCACACTGAAATTGACCTGTGATTTGCTTCCATATGCATGTAAATCTAGGGAGAAAAACTTTAATTAGGGACATTATAAAGCTTTTTGTTTGGGACAGCCCTTGTAACACCCAAGGACAAGTGTTTCCTTGTGTGTACACTTGTCTCGATCACTAGCCTAAGATGTTTCATGCTCTTCTCAGGTCCCTGAACAAATTCTTATCCTATAAAGGCCTGGTGATGATAGCTTTAAAGATAAATGGGCTAAGATTATTACAATTTTTGGTTGCCATAGCCCAGCCCTAACCAGTGACCTAGAGATGAAAGGCACTGAGGCCCTTACCTCCTGTAGGTTGTCAGTGCTCATCTTTGAACCCCTAAAATGCAGCCTGTCACCAAGTTGAGAAAATAGAGATTGCAATGCAACTCCCGTGAAAGTGAATTTGGTTAAGTGGTCAGGTGTTCACGTCCTGTCTCTACCACAGGCTCCTGTCCTTTGTGCAAACATTTTTCTCCTGGATCAGCCCTCAATTTTTTTTTTTTGGTAGCTTTCCCTCTTAGAAAAGGGTGATGCCTATAAAGCAAAATCACTGTGATTCAAAAAAATGATTAGTATTACATGTGTTCTGGAATAACAGCAAAGTAACAAAAATGAGCTAAAGAGCTAAGACTACACAGAAATGAATGTAGGACTTTGTAAATATAATCTATAAATTTGAAAATATTTCTGCAGTTCCATTGGAGGCAGAACAGAACAGTACAATTTTTACCCTTCTAACACCCTTGTGTATTATACTCCTAAAGACAATAATAATCATCATTTTAAATTCAAAGCATTCGATAGTGCCACATGAGAAGTATTAACATCAATAAAATTAAAGATGTGCAATCATTTTTAGCCTTTCTGATGCTCAAGGCTAAAACTCTGATCAATGTAAAGGTGATGAAAACACTGAAGTTGGAGATACTATTATCTATTATTTATTTCTAATCAGGACAAAGCCGAATTCTTAGGCTTACTATAAATATAGTTTCTGGCCAAAGAAAATATTTTACTTATCAAGGGTTTACAGCCTATCAGTAAGTCACCTGAAAGGTGTGACAGATTGCAACTTTCTCTTCTTCCTCTGAGTGGCATTTAGCACTTGTCTAATATACCTTCAATAGGAATTAATAGAGGCAACAAAAAAGGCACGACGAACCGCAGCTAGGCAAGAAAAGGCCACAACTACATCCACATCCTGGCAGGGATTACAGAGTAAAAAGAAATTGAGAGACACAAGAACTGACAAGGGAGAGAAGAAAAGGAAGCCTGTGACAGAAGTCTGGGGGAGAACACAGTGATAGATAGTGTGGGCGCAAAGCAGGAAAGAGCAGAGGTCGAAACACTGAAACAAAGGTGACGGATTGTAATGAAAAATGTCTCCCGAAATTCCATATGCAACAGAATTTAGTTAGATTTACTTTCCATTTGAAATATGCCTTACTTAGAAATATCTTGATGATTTAGAGACTTTAAATGTAAGATAGGAGCAAACAATGACAATGCTATTATTTAAAATATTAAACAACTGCATTTCATATTTTGCACTTCAGTTATGTCTTATTCACAACTTGAAAGCATCCATTAGTTAAGCTGCTCACAAGCTTGGACTTTTGCAGGACTCTTAGTTAAAGCAGATCCAGGAAGAGTTCTAAGTGAACCACTTAGGCTGAGAGTCATATTTATTTTTGCAATGCTGCGAGTGGGAAATTGAGGTTAGTTGGGGACAGGGAGATTGCCCATTGTAAAACCTGAACATGCTCGGTGAGGACACTAACAAAATGTGTAGCTCAGACAAGAAAAACATAACCCTTATCAAAGAGGACCGCTACCGTGTGTAACTAAAATGCTCTTTCCATAAGATTGTCACATCTGCTTTCAGTTGCTGTGCCAAAGGGTCAGAGCTCAATCACAAGCCTGTGGCACCCCCTGCTGGTTAAAAGCCCATGCTCATTTTGTTACTTTACACTGAGCTAAACATTGCAGTCATTTCACACTTCTTTTAACATTCTATATGAATTTAATTATCATTTGTTTGGACTTCATTTGTTACTGAGTCAAGACAGTTTATTACAGATGTTCACATTTTAGGTTATTTCTTCTTCATTTTTTTCCCCCACCACTAGTTACTTCTCAAGATTCATCAAAGGCTTCAAGGTTCTTCCTTCAACCCACCAGGCCTCAATTTTTCATCAGTCCAGCTTTTCGATGAGCGTGGTCAAGAAATTAAGAATCCACTTTTGTTGAAGAATGAGCAAAAAATTTGGGTCTCTTATGGTAAAGCATACAGGTAGGAGCGAGATGTCTATTATCTGTCTGTCCTCGGTCTTTGCACGGGCAAACTAGTTTCAAAGGAGAGTTGAGAAGTCAAGTAAGCACCCTTTATGAAAATTTTTTATTTTGAATTCCAATAAAATTTCAGGGCGTTTTTGTGAGGCAGTACTGTTTGTGGAATATGACATCTCTCTCTCTCTTTGACTTTCGGTCTTAATGCCTTGTCATAGTTCTTGAAGTCTGCCTGTCAGCACAGCAAGAGGGATTTGTTCATGTCTGAGTAGGCACCTTAATGATAGCAGATGGAAACGCCACGGGGAGCCCAAGCCCATCACACTGTCATTGTCGCACACTGCCCTGACCTGCTTCCACTCCTCTATTTTTTTGTCCCTTTTTAAAGGAGAAATGGATGGTAATTGAAAAGTATCTTAAGCAAGATTTATGAAGCTGTAGACAACATGATTCCCCACTATCTCTCTCTGTTTTCACAAATAAAGTCTTAACCTTTTAAGCACCAATGACAGGACAGCTAAAGACAAATTGGTAAAGCCTGTAAGCCCTATCCTATCAAAGTTATATTCCTCCAAAGCACCTTACTTACATTATCCCACAATAATTACTGGTTATTGCTGAGCTTTGTGTAAATTTTTGTAGATTGGTAAATTCCTGCATAAAATTATCTGCATTTCTGAGAAAAGGAAAAGGCTGAAGTACGCAGGCATTGATGAGCTGGGCTATTTTATTGTGTTGAATATCTTGGAAATTAATGCATATTTTCACAGGACACATCCAGATGAACCCTGAAACTACTTGTCAGGAAACTTAAACATGCTTTTCTATCTATTTTTATTTTTATTTTTTTAGCTCACCATTTATCTATAGAAACAGAATAGGGGTAATAGTTTTGCTTATAGAAGATAGTTGGTTGTATATTAATTATAATGAAAATAGCATAGACAGGACTAAATCTTACAGCAAAATAGGAGCTGATTGGATTTGCTATATTGCAATAGTCAAAATTTCAGTGACTGAAACAAATCTACTCAAAAATGCACGAAGGTGTTGAAAGGAGTTGGTAGGATAAGTTGTGGGTATCATATTCCAAAATTTAATTTCATCTATCCTACTAGAGTAAAATTAAAATGCTGATTTGAATGAATGATTTCTTATGCAGTGTAATTTATAGAATTAAAAATATCATTAAGGGCTGGTAAATTTTTTTTCTATAGGCAAATTTCCAAATATAATTTAATTATAGTGTGAGTAGAATTGTTTTTATAATGATAAAAACAGTGATGAATTTTAAAGTGGCTAGAATTCTTGAATAATTTAGCAAGCCCTTCCATTAGAAAGAAAGACTTTAATAAAATGTGTCATTATTATTTCTTCTTAATATCATTGTCAAAGTGAAAGTAATGACTGACTAATTTTGATGATTTTAATGATGTTTGTTGTAATACAATATTTTAATAAGATCAAACACTTTTTCTTGGCTAATTGGATCATATTTGTGGAATAACTAGTAAAATGCCAAGTAGCTGGAATATTCTAAATGTACTGAGGATTGTAGCTGGAGGAATTCATAAGTGCATATTATTTGTATTTCATTGTTACTGTAACAGTATATTTTTTTTTTCTGGTTTTGAATCCAATATAAAGCACCAGGGAACCATTATAGCATTTTCCTGCCACTTGAATTTGTAAAATTTATATATCTAAAATGTTATTGCCTTCTGATTTAAAGTATATTGAGAAAATATGCAATATGTACTAAGTAAATGATACTCATTTTCAGGGAAATCGTAACATGTCTAATTTATATTGATATGCAGTCAGGTTGCTCATTTGCAAAAGATGATTTTGCTAGTATCCAATTTTATTTTGAGTCCTTTGTTTTTCCTCAAATTTTTATTTGAAAAATTTCAAATTCATAGAATAGTTAAAAGAATAGTACAACAAACACCCATATATCCTTCACCTAGATTTGCCAATTTAAAAAGATTGCAGCATTTGTTTTACCTCTTTCATATTTCCCTTCTCTCTCTCGAATGGTTTGAGAGTAATTACAGACAATCATTAAAGTTTTACTCCTAAATGCTTCAGATCACATAACTGAAGAAAGGGACATTCTTCTACATCATCACATTATAATATCTAAAACAGTCAACAATAATACAATAATATCATATAATATGCAATCTGTATTCAAATTATGCAAGTTGTCCCCAGAAATGTGTATTAGAGCTTTTTGTAATCTCGTATCCAATTAACAATCACATACTGCATTTAGTTGTTTTCTTTAGTTCTCTTTAATCTAAAAGATTAAAGATTATCCAGCATTGTCCACCCACCTTTTGTTTTGATGTCATGACATTGATTTTTTTTTTTTAAGAGTCCAGGCAGTTTTCTTATAGAATGTCCCATGTTCGGAATGTCCAAGTGTTTTCTCATGACTAGATGCAGTTTAAATGTTTTTGCGGCAATACTACACAGGTGATGTGGTTGAGTCCTTTAATTCCAAAGTTAAATAGTGTGTCTTTGACACTAGTATAGAGAAAAATGGCTCATAGTTGACATAATGACAATTCTTTTTGTTTTCAATTTTATTTTAATTATCAAAAAATTAACCTGAAACAATGTGCCTAACAGTAGTTAATATAAAAAAAAGTCAAGTTGGCATAGCGTTTAGTGAATGCACAAAATACAGTTTTTTGTATCCAGATATTAAGGATTCATTTAATTGTCAGTTCCAAACATCATCATGGTTGCGTGGCATTGCAGTTATGCATGAAAAATGAACATTATAGGAACGACGATTGTTTTCCATCCACAAAATGTTTTTATTATTGCAATTATTTTTTTAAAATTATATATGTTACACCTAGTCCTGGCATATTACAAATCAGCTAAATAAACTGAAATGTGCATTTCAGGTGCCAATATAGGATACCTACAATAGTGATAAATAATAGGAAATTACTTATTCCTGGATTTTATTATAAACATTTATTATGTGTTTTATTGTTTATTTGCCCTCAAATTTCAGTGTATGTATAATTTGGAAGATAGCTTTGATGTTATTTCCTTTTTTTAGGTCTCCGCTAAATCCTGTTTTGAGTTTGACCTTTGACCGAGTGACTGCATTTATCAGAAGTGGCATCACAGTTGCATATAAAACTTTTTTGGATCCTGATGCTGTTCTGATACCTGGATGTGACAAGTAAATTTACATGTATTTGGTTAAAGTCATCACTATCATCCAATTCTCAGATTTCTCAGAGTGAGAAATTTGAAACACTAAAAGATAACCTTTGAATTGTCTTAAATAAGCAATTATTTATTTTATTGACATATTTCATGATATAATGAGCCAGTGCCTAGAAAAACTTACTGTTAAGTTTCCTTGAGTTAAAAAAAAAACAACCAAAACTATTTTATGGGGCAATGAGCAGAATATAGTTTCTGCTTTGCAGAGCCAACAATTTTGATCTAAATTTAAATACTGTTTTCAGTAGATATTTCCAAATTATTGTTTTAAATGGAATAATTAAAATGTAAAATAATATGTTCCTTCATCTGAGTGTTCATATGTAAACATCTCATTTAATGATGATAAAGTTAAAACAAAAGCAATATGTTGGCGGCTTGGTGGGATAGTGAAGAGTAGGGAAGGAGTTAGAATATCTGGGCATCTGTCCGTCTTTGCTCCTGATTGTCCATGAGCAGTCAGGTTTCAATTTCTTATCTGTAAATAATAAAAATAAGCATTTACTGATGTTGGCCATAGGCCAGGCATGGTTGTAAATGAACTGGGTAATAATTTATTGAATCTTCAAAACAATTATTTTTTATTTCATTATTCTGTTATTACCTGTTACCCTATTACTTCATTTTATAGAGGCAGAAACTGAGTCACAGAGGGTTGAAGTGAAGTAATTTGCCCAAAGTCACATAGCTGGTATGTGGCAGAGCTAGGATTCTAACTCAGATTGTCTGTCTTAAGAACCTGAGTATTTAACCTCTATCCAGCACTGTCCAATAAAACTTTCTGTGATGATGGTAATGCACTTTGTGGCTATGAATCCCCGAAAATGTGACTAACGGGACTGAAAAATGAAATTTTAAATTTTGTTTAATTTAAATTTAAATAGGCCATGTGACTAAACCCTTTGCTATTGAGTCAATTCTGGCTCAATTCCGGAATAGAGCTGCCCCACAGGGTTTCCAAGGAGCAGCTGGTGGATTTGAACTGCTGACCTTTTGGTTAACAGTTGAGCTCTTAACCGCTGTGCCACCAGGGCTCCTTGCAGTGAAGCATGTTACTGATACTTTATTGGATTAGGTGATCTATCTATAAGGCCCCATCTAGCTTTAATATTTTGTTATTTAACAATTACACTTCTCCTTAATATATAGGTAAAAAGGCTAAAAAGCAGAGGGCAGATCTAGAGAACCAGAAGCAGTCTGATGAGGTCACTCAGTTCAGCTAATGTCAACCTATTGCTAAATATGTCTAGAAAGACAGACTCCTTAGTCTTCCTTTGTAGCTCATTAAACAAAAGCCATATCCTCTAATAACTAAGTGTACTTTCCAGGGAAGATTTAAATCTGTTTCTTCTTGTGGGCTTTTTTTCTTTATAGATAGAAAATAATTCATTAATATTCTTTTTTATAGGCATCCCCCATCTATAAGAAGATTTATTTGTGTGCAATAATCTTCCTCCAAGCTGCTAAATTTGCCTAGTTCCTTTTTCTTTAATATTAACTAAGATTTTATATTTTTTAATTCATGTATTTTTTCTTAATTTTATTTCCTTGGGTGCATGAATAGTGATTTATTAGATTGATTCAAATTAGATCTAGGTTGCTAAGTGTAACAATATGAAATTATCTTTTTTTGAACACAAACTAATTTTAATGGATTATTTCCTTAATTTTTGGACAAAATTTGAATTTTCTTTCTATATTCTAAAGTGGTGATGATCTGCTTGTAATGTGGATCGTTTGAAATCTTAATATTCATGTTCTTAATTATATTTCTCAGAGTATTGATAAATATTATTAGGAGTGTCAGACTGGTTTCTGTTGAGTATCATGCTATGATATGTCTGAACTTATCACTGTTGCGCCAGGTAATTTTCTTTAGGCTAAAAATTTGTTCACTTTTAAGATAAGTGATTGCCTGAGCTAAGAATAAAATCTAACCTGTACAGTTTGTGATTTGTCCAGGTGCCCACTGTATTATGCTACCTTTTGAGGTTCTTTTAAAAATGCCAAATTAGCAAGTTTAACACAACCAGTATAAATATAAAACCGTTCTTCATTATTCATAGTCTGTTATATTTAAATTATGCATTTAACATTGAGAATGGACTTACTCTAAATGATTTTGTAAGATTAAAAAAATTTAATTTCTTCATTCTATTAATAAATAATTAGACATGAAATTCCCCAATATTATACATAATTGCAAAAACCCTGGTGGCATAGTGGTTAAGTGCTACCGCTGCTAACCAAAGGGTTGTCAGTTCGAATCTGCCGGGTGCTCCTTGGAAACTCTACGGGGCAGTTCTACTCTGTTCTATAGGGTTGCTATGAGTCGGAATTGACTCGACGGCGACGGGTTATACATAATTGCAAAGTAAGAGTTTAGAACTTTCTCTTTCTCAATATAGATAACAAGACACTTTATAAATTTATTTAAAAAGGTTATGAACTGTACATTGATTTTTCTATCACAGTAGAGTATAAAAGGCATAAATTAATATATTAGTATATTAAGGAGTATTGTAACTAAATATATTTTCTTCTAAAAAATAATTAAATATTTTACTTTTCTTAGTTGGGAAGTTTGTGAGGGATTTCCAATTAATTTGAACTGCACCAGTGGACTGATACCAGATCAATTTGAAAAGATAGACCTGGAGAACCATTTCCTACAGAATAAGGTCAGAATTATTTGTTGTACTTAACAAGGTGCCTTTTATGTATTGGACACTTGGTCAATATGTGGTGATTGCATGGATATTTGTGAAAGTTCTTTGAAAGCTATTAACTATTTTACAAGTATTAGGGCTGGGGTTATTCTTTGTTGTTAGGTGCCCTCGAGTCAATTCTGACACATAGTGACCCTCTGTACAATAGAATGAAACACTGCCTGGTCCTGCCCCATCCTCACAATTGTTGCTATGTTTGAGTCCAGTGTTGTGGCCACTCTGTCAGTCCATCTTGTTGAGGGTTTTCCTCTTTTTGGCAGAACCTCTCCTTTACCAAGCATGATGTCCTTCTCCAGGGACAAGTCCCTCCTGATAACATGTCCAAAGTACGTGAGACGAAGTCTCACCATTCTTGCCTCTAAGGAGCATTCTGGCTGTACTTCTTCCAAGACAGATTTGTTTGTTCTTCTGGCAATCCATTGTCTATTCAATATTCTTTGCCAACACTGCAATTCAAAGGCATCAATTCTTCTTTGGTCTTCTTTATTCATTCTCCAGCTTTCACATGCCTATGAGACCATTAAAATACCACAGCTTGGGTCAGGCACACTTTAGTCCTCAAGGTGACATCTTTGCTTTTTAACACTTTAAAAAGGTCTTTTGCAACATATTTGCCCAATGCAATATGTTGTTTCATTTCTTGCCTGCTGCTTCCATGGACATTGATTGTGGATCCAAATGAAAATGAAAAAATGAAATCCTTGACAACATCCATATTTTCTCTGTTTATCATGATGTTGCTTATTGGCTGTGAGAATTTTTGCTTTCTTTATGTTGAAATGTAATCCATCCTGAAAGCTGTAGTCTTTGATCTTATTGGTAAGTGCTTTAAGTCCTTTTCTCTTTCAGCAGGCAAGGTTGTATCACCTGCACATTGCAGGTTGTTAATGAGTCTTCCTCCAATCCTGATACCACGTTGTTCTTCATATAGTCTGGCTTCTTGGATTATTTGCTCAGCATACAGATTGAATTAGTATGGTCAAAGGATTCAACCCTGAACACCTTTTCTGATTTAAACCACTTAGTAACCCCTTGTTCTATTCAAACAACTTCCTCTGGGTCTATGTACAGGTTCCGCATGAGCACAAGTAAATGTTCTGGAATTCCCATTCTTTTCAATGTTATTTATAATTTGTTATGATCCACACAGTCAAATGCCTTTTCATAGTCAATAAAACACAGATAAACATCTTTCTGGTATTCTCTGCTTTCAGTCAAGTTCCTTCTGACATCAGCAATGATATCCCTCATTCCACATCCTCTTCTGAATCCAGCTTGAATTCCTGGCAGTTTTACTACTGCAACCTCTTCTGAATAAGTTTCAGCAAAATTTTACTTGTGGGTGATATTAATGATACTATTCGATGATTTCCACATTCTGTTGGATCACCTTTCTTTGGAATGGGCATAAATATGGATCTCTTCCATTTGGTTGGCCAGGTAGCTGTCTTCCAAATTTATTGACATAGATAAGTGAGCACTTCCAGCATTGCATCCATGTGCTGAAACATGTCAATTGATAGTTCATCAATTCCTGGAACCTTGTTATTCACCAATGCCTTCAGTGCCACTTAGACTTCTTCCTTCAGTACCATCAGTTCTTGATCATATGCCGTCTACTGAAATGGTTGAAAGTTGTGGTTCAGTGACTCTGTGTATTCCTTCCATTGTTTTTTGATGCTTCCTGTGTTGTTCAATTTTTTGTCCATACAATCCTTCAATTGCAACTGGAGGCTTGAATTTTTTCTGCAGTTCTTTCAGCTTGAGGAATGCTGAGTATGTTCTTCCCTTTTGGTTTTCTGAATCCAGGTTTTTGCACATTTCATTATAATACTTTGTCTTCTTGAGCTGTGCTTTGAAATCTTTTGTTCAGCTCTTTTACTTCATCATTTCTTCCATTTGCTTCAGCTACTCTACGTTAAACAGCAAGTTTCAGAGTCTCTTCTGGCATCTACTTTGGTCTTTTCTTTCTTTCCTGTCTTTTTAATGACCTTTTGGTTTCTTCATGTATTATGTCCTTGATGTCATTCCACAACTTCTATGGTCTTCAGTCATTAATGTTCAATGCCTCAAATCTGTTCTTGAGATGATCTCCAAATTCAGGTTGTACTTTGGCTCTCATGGACTTCTTTTAATTTTCTTCAACTTCAACCTGAAGTCTCATAGGAGCAAGTTATGGTCTGTTCCACAGTTAGCCTCTGGCCTTGTTCTGACTGATGATATGGAGCTTTTCCATTGCCTTTTTCCACAGATGTAGTCAATTTGATTCCTATGTATTCCATCCGGTGAGGTCCACATGTGTACTCACCATTTATGTTGTTGAAAAATGGTATTTGCAGTGAATAAGTTGTTGGTTTTGCAAAATTCTATCATGCAATGTCCGGCGTCATTTCTAGCACCAAGGCCATATTTTCCAACTATTGGTACTTCTTCTTTGTTTCCAACTTTTGCATTCCAATCACCAGTAATTATCAGTGCATCTTGACTTCCTGTTTAATCAATTTCAGACTGCCAAAGTTGGTAACAATCTTTAATTTCTTTATCTTTGGCATTTGTGGCTGGTGCGTAAATTTGAATAATAGGCACATTAACTGGTCTGCCTTGTAGGTGTATGATATTATTCTATCACTGACAGCGTTTACTTCAGGATAGATCTTGAAATGTTCTTTCTGATGATGAATGCTATGTCATTCCTCTTCAGTTTGTCATTCCTGGCACAGTAGACCATATGATTTTCTGATTCAAAATGGCCAATTCCAGTCCATTTTAGCTCACTAATGCCTAGAACATCCATCTGTATGCATTCCATTTGATTTTTGACTACTTCCAATTTTCCTAGATTAATATTTTGTACATTCCACATTCCAATTATTGATGGATGTTTGCAGCTGTTTCTTCTCATTTTGAGTCGTGCCACATAAGTAAATGAAGGTCCTGAAAGCTTGACTCCATTCATGTCATTAAGGTTGACTTTACTTTGAGGAGGCAGCTCTTCCCCAGTCATCTTCTGAGTGCCTTCCAACCTGAGGGGCTTGTCTTCTGGCACTATACCAGACAATATTCTTCCCTATTCATGAAGTTTCCACTGGACAATTTTTTCAGATGTCAACCGCCGAGTCCTTCTTCCTAGTTTGTTTTAGTCTGGAAGCTCTGCTGAAACCTGTCCACCATGGGTGACCCTGTTGGTATTTGAAATACCAGTGGCATAGCTTCCAGCATCACAGCAATACTCAAGGCACCATAGTACAACAAACTGACAGACGGGTGGTGGGGGATTATTCTTTACTTCCTATTAATTAAGCGATTCAAAACTGAAAAGATATCTAATATTCTTACCCTAAAAATTTCTACCTGAATTGTGTATTTTAGTACCATTGTTTAGGGTATTTTTTTTAATGCAGCTGTTTTAATAGATTGGAGTTATTTAAGAAAGTCTTTAAGGTAGCTGTTATCTCACTGTACTTTAGGATTTTATGTTTGCTTTATAGATCTGTGTGTCTAAGGATCATGAGATCTTTTGAAAGCCCAACTCATGGTCCCCCAATCTGGAAGGTCTATTTTTAGGTATTTCTTTTTAAGGTAAATAAAAAAATTTTTTTTCCTACAGTTGAACTATTCCAAAGAAGTAATGATTTTCTCTTTCTTTTTTTTAAACTTGGAAACTCTACATAGGGTTGTTGTATATTTCAGCTTCATAGATTTTTGTTTTTGAACATGTGAATTCAAAACCAAAAGACACCCACAGAAATAGACATGCCCTGTCAACCAGTCTGGAACTTTTATTTCCAAATTGTAATGCAAAAGACACATTGTCCCAACCTGCTCTTTTTAAATTTCTACATGCTGCCCATTCAATAATATGTCAAAACTTATACTGAAAATCTTTGTTGTTTCAAGGAGCATATAAATATAAATAGTATAATTATAAAAATTAATTCAAACAAATAATTCTAATCCTGCCTATTTTTGAGTAAATTTAAAAAAGTAAGTTGAACGGTGCACTAAGTATTAATGCCTTTTATATTTTATACTTATCTGAGATTAAGACTTATTAACCATAGGCCTGATCCTGTGGTACTCCTTTTTCGGTTTTTACTGTAACATTATTTTCTGCTCAAAAAAATTTGTATGGCTGACTGTTCTGTACTAAATCAGTTTCCAAAATCTCATTTGGCCTTCACTGATCTCCATGATTCTCCTCCATTCTACCCTCACTCTCAACTTACCTTTCCAACCTTCTCCTTCGTGGTCCTCTCTATACGCTATTCTACAAACCAAAAAAACCCAAACCTGTTGCCATCGAGTTGATTCTGACTCATAGCGACCCTATACTATAGTCAGAGCTAATAAATTGTGTTCCACAACATGCTTTCACTTTGGTATACTTATGCATGACTTGTGTTGGTCTTTGCCTAGGATACGTACCCATCACCACCACTACTACCATTACCATTCTTGCCTCCTATTTCATCCATCTCTGTTAAGGCCTTATTCAATTTCCTCTTCTCAGATCCTCCAGAGAGAACTGGTCTCTAATTATTTTGTGTTGTCAGAACTCCTTTTGTCCTTTGAAAATTGTTCTTAGAGTTTGTGTTTTGGTATAAGCATTTGTTTTTGTCTTCTCCACTTTACTGAGAATTCTTTGGGAGCAAACATTATATCTTATTTATCTTTGTATCCCTAAGTGCTAGCACAGAGTCTTGAGTGTAGGGCAAGTGCATAATACATTTCTGATGATCGTTTTTTTTTTCCAGTTTTGTCTTAATCTCTCTTTTAAGGCTTACTATTTTCCAGTGTGCTTTTTGTGTGTTAGCCAAGTCAGATGATGCATTAACTGTTTTCTGGAACATGCTTCATGCTTTTGTTTATTGTGCCTGTGTTTATCTCTCTGCCTAGAATTCAACCTTTCTTCCTTTCTTTATCATCCAGCACTCTGTCTGGCATAAAGTTGG